TGATCTGAACACAACAGGACAGAGATCGCCTTCCTCAGCACCTGCCTGTTATAGAAGTCCACAAGCTGGACCTGAGACCTCCCTCAAATCTTACCAGCCACTTTAACCAGGTTCCTAAGTCTGGTCTTATTATTCAAAGAAATATTACCATACCAATGATACAGAAGGTTAAAACAGATTCAATAAAACGTTTTATAAAAAAAAGAGTCATCATTACAGATGAAACATTAAAACCTCTCAACCTCCTTAAAAGGTACAGTCTTTGTTGAACCTTTTTCACTGTAGCAGCAAGATGTGACTCAAAGGACAGAGCTTTATCAAGAACAACCCCAAATACTTATACCTGTCCACCAGTTCAATGGCTGCACCATTCACCACTGTTAGCCCAGGATGGGGGGATGTCTTCCTGAAGTCAAAAACCATGTCCTTGGTTTTCAGTGTGTTGATCTTTAAGAAGGACTGATCACACCACAAAACAAACTCATCCACAACAGGCCCATTGGAATCCTCTTCACCATGAAGGAGGCTTACAATGACTGTGTCATCTGCACATTTAATGAAATGCCTATTAGCCTGTGTACTGCAACAGTCATTAGTGTACAAAATATACAGTAGAGGAGAGAGACAGCAACCCTGTGGAGAACCAGTAGAAGAGTTCAGCTGTTTGGAAAAACAGCCGTTTACTCATTTGGAAACGGATGCAGCACCATGGAATCCCACATCAACATCATGCAACAGCTATACGAAGACTCGTCCTGCCAGATCATCCACAAGGGAAAACTGACCAACCCCTTCACAGTGAAAACCAGAGTGAGGCAAGGCTGGATGTTGTCACCGACATTCTTCCCGATTGTCATGGACTGGATCATGAGAGGAACCACAGAGGGCAGCAATACTGCATTCCAGTGGACCTTCACCAAACAGCTGGAGGACCTGGACTTTGCAGAGGACGTTAGCCTTCTGTCCCATAAGCAGCAACATGCACAGTCCAAGCTTACCTGGCCTGAAGATCAACATCAGA